CCAACCGAGCCACCCAGGTGTCCCTTACTCTTACTTTAAACACAGAAAGCATGTGCAGTTTTACCCTGTCCTTACTGTTACAAAGTGAGCAATTAACTAAGGCTCCTTCTTTGATTTCTCTAGAAAATTCCTAAGATTATACTGATCTGTTCTATGACTCATAGCAGGCTACAGAGTTCATTTCACATGCATTTTCTGGTTAGACTGCTTTACTAATCCCAACGGCTGCTTTATACACACTTTAGAAATGTCACTGATTATACTGTCAAGCTTATCTAATGAACAGTTCATAGTATATGCACTGTTAATAAAAGTTAGAAGCAGTTGCAACATCGCAATGTTGCCTCACTTTAGGAAGCATGCATCTTGGCAAAATTAGCTACAGAGTAAGTATCTACAAAGTGAATCATCTTTTACCAAAAATGGCATTGATAAAAATCAGAGCTACATCCCCTAGCAGAAATTCCAGGATGCTCAGTTGAAAATGTTAAAATTCTAAGGGCTCAGTAAAGCTGCTGGCAGTTTGGATACTATAAAAAGGCACATCGACCTGCTGAGACTGCTGTCCTTTGGTGTTCAGAGCTATTTAAGAACTCCCCACCTTCTGGAATCTCCTAGATGTTGGGCCAGCCATCAGAACTTCTCACCTGTCCCTACTATCCAACTATGCCCAACTCTAAAAGCACGCTTCCTAAAACTCAGCTCCCTTCCTTCTCTTCCTAGCTGGGCCATACAATATTTAACTGGGCAAGACAGGCATTTCACATTTTGTCACTTTGTGCTCCTTTCCAGTTCATGGTGAACAATGACACAAAATAATTCTTTCAGTTTAAAGCTGGAACAACTACAACTACTTCATTCTTAAGATTTAAGTTTGTACATTGAACAGTGGCACCTGGCTGGCTTAGTCAGTAGTGCATGGGACTATTGATCTTGGGGTTTAAGTTCAAGCCCCACCTTAGTTACAGAAATTACCTAAAAATAAAATATTTTTTAAAAAATAATAAAGTTTTGTATGTTGAGCAAGGACTGTTGAAATGTTTATGCATTTCCTGATTTCAAGAATATTCCGTTTACGGTTACTTGGCACATAAATGTCAACTGGTTTTAACTTTCTGGCAACCCTCTTTCTATTTCCCAAACATGAATAGTTTAATAATACTATTCAATCACTCAACACATATTTATAGAGTATCTACTGTGGGTCAGGTCATGTTCTGAGGTGTTGGGAGAACAATGAACAAAACAAGTAACCTGCCCTCCTGAGGTTATACTATAGGGAGAAAGACGATAAAGAAGATAAGTAAATGGGGGTGGGGGGGGACACCTGGCTGGATCAGTCTGTAGAGCACCGGACTCTTGACCTCAGGGTCATGAGTTCAAGCCCCATGTTAGGCGTGGAACTACTTCCAAAAAAAAAAAAAAAAAAAGAAAGAAAAAAAAAGGTAAATAATTATATAAGCCTGAAATGGTGAATACCTAAAATGGGGAACCAGTCTCTTCTGAACAACATATGTTATGTGATATTTGATTCACAGAAAGAGTTTATGTAACATATGTATGATATGTGTGGTTATAAAGTGTAATTACCCATCTTAGAGTCTTTGCATCTCTACATCAAGGGCCAGTAAACTTTTTCAGTAAAGGAACAAAAAGTAAATATTGTAGTTTTGGCTGGTCAAGAGGTCACTCATGGTCTCTGTCACAACTACTCAATCTGCCCTGGTAGAATGAAAGTGGCCACAGACTGAACAGGCATAGCTGTATTCCAATAAAACTTTATTTACAAAAACAAGCCATGGCCTTGATTTGGCCCACAGGCTGGAATTTAAGTCAAAGACTCTGAAGTGTTGGAATCACAGACTCTTAGAACATTGGAATCATAGGCTATTTGACCCAAGGGTCCTACAGCGTTAGTTACTATCTGAATCACAGGATTCTAGAAAGTCACCCTCAAGCCTCAGAGTGTTAGAAGTATAGAGCTTCAGTCCTTAGATGTTAGAATCACGTAGATGGTCTGGACATGAGTCAAGGAGTTCTAGCCCTTAGTTGACCAGTATGGTAGCCACTGGTGACATGAGACTACTGAGCATTTGAAATGTGGTGCCTCTGAGATGACTGAGCATGATTTCAAAGACTGAAATGAAAAAGAAATGTGAGAACTCTCAATAACTTTTTAGATTAATCACATATTGAAATGATTTTTAAATACATTTGGTTAAATAAAATATATCACTAAAAATGTTTTAAAAAGATAAGTTAGTAAAATATACAGTATGCTAGGTGTGAAAGTGCTAAAGAAAAAACGAAGCAGGGGAGGACTAAGAAGTACTGAAGCCGGGGTACAACTCTAGATATTTTATAACCTTAACTTGACAACACAATTGGGAAATACTTGTTTTGATTTTCACTTCTTTTCAAATAATCCTGATCCCTAAACAGATGAAAATGTGACCAACAAGTTCCTCTTTACAGTTGTAGATATCTATTTTAACGTGTACTACCATGTTAGAGGAACAGTGAGCTAAAGCTCAGAAACCTGAAGTAGCCTGATGAAAATGCGTATTGCAACCATGCTGTGCTTTGGTAATTTTCACAGGAACCAGACATAATACACCCCCTGGCAACAGGACATTTCAAAATGATTTGCTAAAATGAGTAGTATTTCCTTCTACTTTTCATGGGAAAACTGTATTAATATGCTATTCATCTAACTTATGTTGGTAAATTTGACCAGAAATATACTGATTTTAATTTTTTTAAAAATATGATTGGAAAAGCAATGATTGCCCACTGATAAGCTGTTAAATACTAAAAGAATACAGCTTCTTCAAAAGAATCCCAATATTCTTCCACTAGCCTCTTCAAATGTAAGCCAGAATAATCAACCTAAATGTAGTTATCATCATCATACCAAATGTATATATAGCAACTGGCTTTGATTACATCAGACACTCAAGTAATGTAGTTAAATAAAATCTATGATACTTATAGGGGCTCATTTAAACCACCTTCTCAGTCTATCTTTCAACAGATCTTCAACCACATATTCTACCTAATTGTTGGCCTTTAACCTGCCTAGCGATCCTTATAATGTACGTAAAAACACGAAGGAAAAACATTGGTGGGAAGGAAGCTAACCTGTAGGGTAAAGGTAATAGTGGGTACATTAAAGGAATGTCCAAGTCTGGGGTCCTCAAATTTATTGAGTACCACCAACAGATGGTGTCATTGATCCTTACTAAAAGATCCACCTAAGAAATTATGTTTTTGGTGATCAGTGGTGGCTCATTACAGATCTTCGAAGGTCAAATGTCATTGAGTTGTATTTCATATCCAACACTATCGTTCTCAATTTTGCTGACAGGCATACTTTCTCGCATAATAACTCACTGACTGATAAAAAAAATGAAAAAGGAGAAAAGAAAACTCTAACAATTGTAGGGAAAAAAGCACAGCAATAGTACTGAGAGAGAAGGAGGATGAGGAAAACTATGTCAAAAGCTATAGCAAGAATTGCTAGGAGGTAGGATACCGTGTGAACTGGTTATCTGAACAGATGCTGCAAAGGAAATATTCAGGACTGCAGTGATAGCATTGGAAAGAGTATACAAAAAATACCTGCATATGTGTAAACTTAGGGTGCCTTAAATTTATATGGAAATCAAGACCACTGTCTATAAAGTGTTTACAGTTAGAAGTGAAAGTAGGAGAGGTGTCCAGTCATTAGAGAGCCCTAAAAAGACAAAGAATCCTTTTGTTTCCCCCATCCTGAAAACTCCTCTCCCTCTCCATTCTCCAGGAGCTAGATCTGACAGAAGAAATCCTGAAGGAGAACCAACTGCACACTTCATTGTGTCATCGTGCCAGAAATTCTGGGGAGTGCTGAAATTCAGCTCCCCCTTACATCCAGAGAGTCTCAACATGGTCCAGTCCCCAAAACTTGCTTTATTTGAATATTTTCAGCCCAGACTGGGATGCATTTTTCCAAAACATCAGCCAAAAGCAACTGCCTTTAAAAAATATCTCAGAAAGGCAAAAAAGTGGCCCCGGGTACCAAAGGTTAATCTACTGGTCTCACTATAATTGCCGTCATATATGTCATCTGTTCTTAGTTCTCCTTTCTTATCCTTCCTTGCTTCTCTCTACCTATGCTCTATGCCCACATAAGTTTTGTTTGGCTCTGGCAGGCAGCACTCAGAACTGGAGTTTGCAGACCCCAGATAATGACAACAGCAAGATACATGTAGCTATATATGTGGCAGGTGTTTTGCTAAGTGTATTACAAATACGATTTTATTTAATTCACTTAAAAATCCGTATGACATAGGATGCATTTTATTTCTATTTTACAAATGCAGAAACGGGCCCTAAAACGTTAAGTAACCTGCCCAAGGTCACACAGCTAACAAACGCCAAAGCATACACTTGAAACCCAGCTAACTGTCTTATCCCAAGCAGAAATGTTCTTTACATTAAGCCATAAAGCCTGTGCCCAGAAATCATACAGAGACCTGAAATCCAGCCCTAGTAGTACTGTTTAGCACTTCTGTAGTTTGGTAAATTATTTAATCTGAGTCCCGAGTATGAAACAGAGTAACAATACCACCTAAGTCTGTGAGCATTAAATGAACTAACAAATACAAACATTTTCTAGTACAGTGTTTATGGGTCACTAGCCAAAAATCGCTATATACAACCCCGTATTCCTTCTGTTTCTCTATTTGATTTATTGAGGCAGCCACAAAAAGATTAAGCAGAAGCTGTGGGTCATCAACCAAGTGCAACGTTAATGGTCTGTATCCTCTGTCTCCCAGAGGTTCTGGCACTGCAAAACCAATGCAACTGCATTTCCTCCACGTCCTGGCTTGTAGTAAGTCCAAAGCCCTAGACAGAAGAATGTGGGAGCCAGAGCCGGAACAGGAGCTCTTAGGAAACCCTGTCCCACAACCTTCGGCTCCGCTATGAAATCAAGAGTTACCTTTTCCCGCCCCACCTACCTGCTTCTCTTGGAACCCTCAGCGGCTCTGAAGCGTGCCTGTTCCTCCGAGCATTCGATTCTAAGCGAGGAACCCTGACCCAGCCCCTCACCCCACTGGGCGCTGCGGATTTTTCCAAGCGTGTCACCTCCCCTGTGCCTCAGGCCCGACCCTCCCTGCTGGGGTAGGCTGGCGAGCTGGACACCGCCCGCCCAGGTGCACGAACGCCAGGCCCAGGAGGCTTCTCGCGGCCCACAGCTTAGCCCCGAACTCTGGCTTCTCCGAAAGGCGTCAGCCAGCCCCAAGCCTCCCCAGGCTCGTACGCTGAGGCTCAAGAGTCCCCTGCGCGCTCCGGCCGATCCCTCGCCGCACCAAGCCCAGGGTTCACTTCCAGCGCGAGGGCCGTGTGGGCCCCACCGCTCGGAGCCTGAGGGCCCGGTTTGTCTCCGAGCGGGCTCTCTTTCTCCCCCAGGGGATCTGTGGGTTGTTGGGGCCCCGCTACACCAGCCCCGAAGCAGACAGAGGCGCGCACTCACATCCGGCTCTCAGTGGGGTAAATGTGGCTGGGGTGGAGACCAGGCAGGCAGAATCCACTAGGTAGCCGGGGCGCAGGGATTCACAGGAACCCGAGGCCGAATGGGCAGAGGGGCGGGGAGGGAAGGGGAGTGGCTAAGGTGAAGCTCCGCCCACTATGGCCTCGGACCGCCCAGTACTGACTCTTACCTGCACCTAGGGAGTAGACCGGTGCTTCCAGGTCTTTTAGGAGATGGCTTTGCTTATGGAAGGCCCCAGCTGATTTTGGACACAAAAATGAGTTGCTTGGTGCACAAAAGAAAATTTTCAGAAGGATAAATGAATTAAAATATTTGAGAAAATTTATACTACTATCTGAAAAACAGGGAAAAATTCAAAAATGCGAACTCCTAAACGTTCTTATTTACAACTTTTCAATGTACGCACTACCCGAGTCATTTTGCATCTGAATCTCATTTAATTCTCACAATTTTGTGACGTAGTTAGTGCCATTAACCCCATTTCGCAAATGAGAAAACTGTGATTGAGTAACTTGAAATACGATAGCTGAGTAATTGGTCTACTCGCCTGAAGTCACAGATTCTAAGTAAACTAATTTCAAAGCATCCTGCTTGACTGCTACTTGATGCTGCCTACAACTAAACAAACTCCCACGGAAAATATTGCTACACTTGACTACTAGAAATTGAGAACGTCTGCCCAAGGAAAACAGGGACAAAATCATTCAGCAAACACATGAGAAAAATATTTGCTACAAACCTGATATTTAAGGAAGGATTAGTATCTAAAGTATAAATTGATTTTAAAAAAAATAGAAAAATGGGGTGGCTCAGTCGGTTAAGCATCTGCCTTTAGATCATGATCCTCGGATCATGGGATCAAGTCCTGCTTTTGTCTCCTTGCTCAGCAGGGAGCCTGCTTCTTCATCTGCCTGCTGCTCTCACTGCTTGTGCTTACACTCTCATTTTCTCTTTCCGACAAGTAAATAAATAAAATCTTTTTAAAAAATAGAAAAATGAGCAAAAGATATATTTTTTGTAACTGCAGAAGACAGGGGCACCTGAGTGGCTTGGTCCCTCAAGTGTTTGCCTTTGGATCAGGTCCTGATCCTGGGGTCCTGGGATGGAGCTCCACAGCAGGAAATATTCTTTTCCCTTTCCCCCCTGCTCCTGCTTTCTGTCTCTCTCTCTCTCTCAAATAAATAAATCTTAAAAAAAAATCGCAGAAGACTATGGAAAATGAAACAAATGAGGACTTTCCTAAGTAAAAAAAAAAAAAAAAAAAGGACTTTTAATCCAAAAAATGCAAAAAAAAACCACTTTTAAATAATTATATCATTGCAAGTGAAGATTCATTCATTTATTTATTGAACACCTATTGGGTGCCTACTACAGGCCAAACATTGTTCTAGACTTGTGATTAACTAGTGACATACAGAATTTTCTATACTAGAAGAACAGATAAGTTATTAAAAATAAATGAGATGATTTCAGATAGTCATAAGTACCATGAGGAAAGTAATATAGGGTAATGCGATAGGGAGGACATTGGGGATAATGGAACGTTTTTGTTTTGTTTTGTTTTGTTTTGAAGATTTTATTTTTAAGTAATCTCTAGTCTCACCATGAGGTTCGAACTCACAACCTGCAAATCAAGAGTCACGTGCTCTAACGACTGAGCCAGCTAGGTGCCTCAAATGGGAACTTTTTTGGATTGGGTATGAGGGAAAGTCTCTCTGAGGCAGTGATATTTGATTGAAACCTGAAAAATAAGAAAGAGCAAGTCATTCAAAGATCTGAGATCACGGGAATGATAGACAAAGACAGAAAAAGACTTAGCAAATTGCAGGGACAGAAACAAGACAGGACAGTAGGGAGAAGGAAGAGAATTGCTTAATTTTGTTTTTACTGAAGGTGTAAAGACAAATTTGTTTTACTTTTGGTTCTGATTTTACATTTAAGTGAAAGTCCTCAGATACCACTAATTTAGGTGAAAGTTTCAAAATTGCAAGAATACATATCCATATCCATACCTAAACTTCCTGACTTTTGGCTCTACTAAAATAGGGAAAGAAGTAGAGATGAGAGTGGTTTTACATTTTTACATTTTTTATATTTTTATAGTTTTAGTACCCACTATGGCTTCAGGTCAGGTCATGATCTCAGGGTCTTGAGATTGAGTCCCATGTTGGGGCTCCTTGCTCAATGGGGAGTCTACTTCTCCATCTCCCTTTGCCCCTCCCTCCATTCTCACACACTCTCTTTCTCTCTCAAATAAATAAATAAAATCTTTGAAAGAAATAAAATAAAGAAAAGAAAGATGAATGGAAATTAAGTAAGAAAGAGTAGAGTGGGATGGGAGCAAGGAGGAGGGTGACAAGTGTAATGGGAAGGAATCCTGACAGAGAGAATATCATGTAGGGAGGTCTGAAGCTCATTGTAGAAAAGAAAAGATAGTGTGCCTGGAGTCAAGAGAGAAATATTACAGACTTACAGAAACTAAAGAAACATGACAGTTAAATGCAGCACATAAACATATAATCAGGATTTGATCTGATTTGGGGAAAAAATGGTTGCTATCTAGGACAGCTTGGGGGCAATAAACAAAATTTATTTATTAAATAATAGTATTCAATTTCAATTTCCTGAATTTGATAATTGTACTGGGACTAAATAAGAGAATATCTTTGTTTCTAGGCACAAAGCATCATGATATCTATAATCTACTCTCAAAAGATTTAGCAACAAAAAATAATAATTGGAAGATAATATAAATGTTACATGTAATATATATAAAGAAACAAAGAAAATTTGACAAAATGTTAACAATGGCTGAATCTAGGTGAAGAAATGTGAGTTCCTGCAATTTTCCTAAGGATCTAAATTTTTTTTCAAAATAGAAAATTTCATTAACATTTCACTCCGTTGGGATGCCTGGCTGGCACAGTAGGTAGAGCATGTGACTCTTGATCTCAGAGTTGTAAGTTTGAGCCCCATGTTAGGTGTAGAGATTACTTAAAAATAAAACCTTTGAAAAAATTTACTCTGGCTAAGATATCAGAAACTCAATTTCAGGATTCTCATGGCATCCAGTTATATGAACATATTATTTAGGAATATTGAGGTAACTATCGGTAGAAATATGTAAAATGGTTCCCTCTGGAAAAAAAAGACTAAGGTTCAGAAAAAAGTTAAGAAGAGACTCTATATGTTTTTTAAAATATACTTTAAAAACAAAGAAAATAAGAATATTACTAATGCAATCATAAAGAAATGTGAGGGATTTAATGGAAAGACGTGGGGGCAGCAATCATATAAAAGCATTGGACTTGGAGTTCAAAGACATGGATTATAGTCTTCTAGTTTTCCAACAATATCTATTACCTATGTATCCTTGGTTAATCTATTTGAGCTATAGTTCTTTTGTTAATTAATTTGGCATACCCATTATTTCACAAGGTAGTTGGAAAGAACAAATGAAATAAGTATGTGTTATTGTACTATGTAATACTATATAGGTAATACATAAATGTAATCTAATTCTAAAAAACCTATGATTATCTTCCCTTATTTGCCCATAAAAAAACACTTACGTAATCCGGATAGTATGTACTCCATTTGCAGCTCATATTTTCACCCACATCAGTCTTGAAGTAAGATTCAAAACCTCTTTGATACTTCCCAAAATATTCCACCCTGGTGAGAGGTATTAATCTTTTTTTTAAGATTTTTATTTATTTATTTATTTGAAAGAGAGAGAGAGAGATCACAAGTAGGCAGAGACGCAGGCGGAGAGAGAGGGGGAAGCAGGCAGAGACCCAACCCACTGAGCCACCCAGGCTCCCGAGAGGTATTAATCTTGCTAAATATTTTGAGGAGAAACTGAGGGCTTGTACCACACATCCCACGCCAAACAAGGTTGTCGCGGCCGGCGAGACAAATCGACCAGGAACGTGAGGGTGAGAGGATGGTGAAAAGAAATTAAGAGACAAAGAGATGGGGGCAGGAGGAGCACTGAGAAGGATGTCCAACAGTGCCGATTTTATTCCGCATCTTACAAGCATTTATAAGGCAGACCACAATAGAAGGAGTAATACATCAGTATCTAGTCAGATAACCGCAAGTTCCTATAACAAGTTTACATTAACTACAAACAAATCTTGTGATGCCAGGTAGTCATGGCTAATGCCATTAGCTACTATTGATACAAGAAGTTACAATCAACCAGGGAGTGGATTATGGGAAGTACAGGAACAAGGACCAACTAAGAATTTATGACCCTGACCATATTGTTCCCTTCTGTTTGGGGAAGGGAGTGAAGTCACGTAGGCGAGCACAAGACACATAGCACAGACCTTTTCTCAGTGCTACTCAACTTCCCTGCCCTTAACCCCTTATCAAGGCGTCCGGACTTTAAAGGAGACACAAGTCAGGGCCTGGTTTGGTCCTCGTCTCAAGCCTTATTGTGGCCTCCAACCCAAGGTCATCAACTTTCTCTCAAGAGACCTCCTCTCCCTAGTCTTTTCTGATGTGAAATGTTGTGGTTTGGAAGCAGTCAAGAAAGAATTATTGAGACGACTTCAGTGCAAAAAGGGTGGTTTTACTAAAGCACAGGGACAGGACCTATGGGCAGACAAAGCTCTCTGGGGTTGTAAGGAGAGGCTGATTATATACTTTCAAGTTGGGGAGGTTTTAGGGATAGGGTAAGTCTCAAAGGAATTTGGAAGCAAATTTTCCAGGACCTGAAAGGGCTAGCTGTTACGAAAAGGTCATTTAATACTGTCCAATAAAACCTTAGTCATGAGACCCTTCAGATGTATATTAGTGTGCTGTATGTTTTGAGGATGATTGCTAACATATATACATATATCTTGGGGGAGGGGGAAGGTATAGATAAAGGAAGTTTCCAAAGGGATTTTTATAGTGTCTTAGAGGTTAGGCTAATGTCAAACTAAGGTTGCCTGAGGTAGCTAAGCTCCTTGAGGGAGGTACTTGTCAATGGGCTGTAAGTTGTATGAACATTTAATTTTTTTTTCTTTTCCCTCTGTTCTCCACATCGTTTTCTACTAAGACCAGCTTGGGCTTCACATTCTTTATCTTCTCTGGCTTCTCTATCCCCTCGAGAACTCCTCCTCCTGTCAATCTCTTCTTTGCTTTCGTTATGTGGAACAGTTTAATTCTTCCAAGTATTTATTTCCAAAAAGGACCGTCTATTACTCTATCTTTAAAGGCAGCAGAGAATTATAAATAACAGATCGTTTTTTTTTTCTTACATACTTAAATTATCGGGTCTATCAGAGAATTTTCAGTTCTCTTCTGGTGATTAATCCTATGCCAAAGCCATGACAGGCCCCACAGGGTACGGGCAGAAACCATACAGCATGCAAAAGGGAACAGTCCTCTGGGCGCAGGCGCGAAAGGGCGGCAAAGTCCCACCCAATCCGGTATTCCCCTCCCCGTGAAGCCGTGGACCGGAAATCGTTTAGCGGAAGAGGCGGCCTGGAAGAGGGAGGTCGCGTTTTTTCGGGGAGGATTGGGGAGAATTACTCTCCGCTGCGCTCCACAGCGGCCCAAAGGGGTGAAGGGTCAGTCCGCGAGTTGTAGGTCATGGCGCTGGCCGCTCGCCTCTGGCGCTTTCTGCCTTGGGGACGTCGCATCTTTCCGGGACCTTGGCTCTCGAGGGGTGTTGCTGGCAGCCGCGGGCTGTGCTGTACTAGGCGACTCCGCGGCTCTGAGGTATCCCCGCCGACCTCCCGCTCCCCTCACTGCTGGCTGGGCTCCGGCACCCTCTTGTTCAGCCTGGCTGCGCCGTATCACCATGGGGAATGTGGTGAACTGAGGAAGGTACTCAGGGCCAGGTGTTCCTGGAGCTCCCCCGTGACTGCGACGGACAGGTCCTCTCCCTTTCGCAAGGCTATTTCTCTGAAAACTGGGGTCGGAGGAGGAATGAGGCCTCCAGCCCCTTCTTTCCCGACAGTCCGGGAATCCTGCTGGTCTTTCCTCAGTGAAAACAGAGAACTCGGCGGGGGGCGGGGGTGGAACTTGACCGCCGTGAAAATGTTTACTTTTGGCGATACTGTACAGCGCCTAAGGCTCTTAGTCTCCCAGACTTTGAAAAGTTTGTGGTGTGATTTTGAAAAGTACTGCGACTTAGAAGCAGATATTTTGTACTATTTAGGTTTAAAATTTTTCATTTGAGTCCTTTGTTTTATGTGCATAATGTTAAGGAAAGGATGTCGGATTATTGTCATCCTGTCAGTGAGAAGTGTTATTTTAACCACTTTTTAGAAGAGGAAACTGAAGTAAGGTTAAATGATGTATCCAAGTCACACAGCTAGAAATAGCTTGGATTTGATGGCTGGTAAGGTATCTACATGTATTGCATATAGTCAACTGTGCCAAAAAAACAACTAGAGAAGATAGAAAAGGATAGAAAAAAATCAAGAGAGACTAGAAAAATTTTTAAGTAGTAAAACTCCACTCTAAGCCAAAGGCAATGAAAAACATTCTTCCCTGGGGCACCTGGGTGGCTTAGTGGGTTAAAGCCTCTGCCTTCCGCTTGGGTCATGATGCCAGGGATCCAGTCCTCATAGGGCTCTCTGCTCAGCAGGGAGCCTGCTTCCTCCTCCCTCTCTGCCTACTTGTGATCTCTGTCTGTCAAATAAATAAATAAAATCTAAAAAACAAAAAAACATTCTTCCCTAAATAAATTGAATTTTGGGGGAGTTGAAACTCATATTACAGCTTTCTAGTTTTTCGTAGTAATGAGAAAGACAGCTAGAGATGAGTTTTTGGAGTTTTCGTGAGTTTTTGGAGCCCTTTTCATTTGTTTTTCTTTTTCCTAAATCTTTCTCTCAGCATAATGTTAATGAGTTGGAGATATGTGCCAGGAGTTTGTTGAGATTGGGGGGTAATGCTGAGTGGCTGAGATTTAATTTTTCTGTCCTTTTCTGTATGTAATCTGTGTTACAAAACACTTCTCTGAACGTTTATTTTTCAGCAGACTTGACTGAGTGCTTACTATGAATAAGGCTCTGTTCTAAGCTCTGGAGATACATTGAACATGAGAAACAGAAACACTTTTCCTCATTGATCTTACAGGTTTGAAGGAAAGGTAGTTGAGTAAATGTAATTAGTGCAAAGTGTTTGGAAAAGAGAAGCAAAGTTATATTTAACCTGATCTTGAAGGGAGGAAGGGGGAAAGTGTAAACAATTAGAGATGAGCTCTAAAGAATGATTGGAGATTAATGAGTAATGGAAGATGAGGAGGAAAGAATATTCCAGTGGAGAGAGTAGCATGATATAGGCCCTGAGGTAAGAAAAAGTGGTATTTTGGAGGACCAGAAATTATGACTGGAACCTGAAATAGGAGAATAAACAGAAAAAAACCGAGGCTGAAAAATCAGGCAAGTGCCAGTTTATTAATTATCTATTACTGCATAGCAAATTATTGCACAGCTTAATGGTTTAAAACAGCAAACATAATCTCACTGTTTCTTTTGTTATCAAATCCAGGTGAGGCTTAGCTGGGTGCCTCTGGCGGAAGGTTTCTCAGTTAAGGATTGAATCAGTGTTCAGCTGCTGAGGTTTCATTTGAGGGCTCAATTTAGAGGTAGAGGGAAAGTTATGCCTATAACCTCACTCATGTAGTTGTAGGCATGCTTTTGTACTCAACTTGGAAGACTTCTCGAAAGGGCTGCCTTAAGACACAGCAGCTTCCCCCATGCAGGCAAGCAATCAAAGAAAACACAGGAGAGAATGAGTGTCAAAGATGGAAGTTACAGTTTTTTTATAACCTAATCTGGAAGTAATATCCCCTCACTTTTGCATATTCTGTTTCTTTAAAAAGAGCCAGTAAGTCCAGCCTACATTTAAGGGAAGGGAATTACAGAAAGGAGTGAATATTAGAAGTACAGAAGGGAGAAATCTTTCTTCCCAGGATTCTTCCAGCTGGTTTCGGAATTAAATTGACATGAGACAAAAGGAACAAAAACCAAAGTTTTATTATGTGTACATGGAGGTCCAGTAGTGAAATTGAAACCCAAAGAAATGACCAAGGCAGGCAGTTTTATACATCTTAGACTTAATAAATTTGTGAGTAATTGGCAGGATAAAGGAAACAGATGTTTGGGAGCTTTAATTAGTAAGGAATTTTAAGCAGAATTTAGGTTGAGGTAGTAGATTTGTAACAAGGCTTGTTTCTACTGCTTTCTAGGTTTTAACGTACCTATCTCTGATGATGAGGGTGTCTTTTTACTTCTTAGTACAAGGAGGGTTTTTCATATGGGAGATTTATTTCCTGTTTTCGGGGGATCAGAGGACGGTCTCAGTGTCCTTGGACCAGCGGTTTCCCAGCTAGCTTCAATTAAGAATAATCAGTATACCATTGTGGTACATTTTGGGGTAGCCTACCCTGGGACCTGACAAAAGGTAGGAATCATTTGGGGCCATTTTAATTAATATTTCTGTATATTTTTAAATTGAGATATAATTGACATGTAACATTAGTTTCAGGTGTATGACACAATGATACAACATTTGTACATATTGCCATATTTACACAGTAAGTAAAGTTAACATCTGTCTCTGCAAATTTTTTTCTCCTGAAGAAAACTTTTAAGATTTACTCTCTTAGCAAATTCCAAAAATACATATAGTATTATTAACTGTATTTACCATCCTATACATTACATCCTAGGATTTATTTTGTAACTGGAAGTTTAAACTTCTTGGTCACCTTCACCCATTTAACCAGCCCCCTTCTATACTCCCCCTTTGGCAGCCATCAATTTGTTCTCTGTTTGTAAGTTTGGATTTTGTTTTAGATTTCACAATGAGCTCATACTGCATTTGTCTTTCTTGTCTGACATATTTCACTTAGCATAATGCCCTCAGGGTCTCTTCATGTTGTCACAGATTGCAAGATTTCATTATTTTATAATTATTTTATAATAATATATATATAATATATATATAATAAATAAAATAAAATTTAAAAAAGAATGAAATACATAAAATAATGAAAATAAAATATGTAATGCCATGCTACTGCAAATTTACTAATTCCTTTCTGATTTGGATATCTTTTTTCTTTTCCTTCCTTTTTTTAAAATCCCTAATTGCTCTAGCTAGGATTTCTAATACCATGTTGAATAAAATCGAGAATGGGCATTCTGTCTGGTTGTCATTTTAGAGGAAAAACTTTTTTTTAAAGGATTTTATTTATTTGACAGACAGAGATCACAAGTAGGCAGAGAGGCAGGCAGAGAGAGAGAGGAGGAAGCAGGCTCCCCGCTGAGCAGAGAGCCTGGCTCCATTGCAAGGCCCTGGGATCATGACCTGAGTGGAAGGCAGAGGTTTTAACCCACTGAGCCACCCAGGCACCCGTTAGAGGAAAAACTTTTTGCTTTTCACCACTGAATATGATACTGCCTGTGGACTTGCCATGTATTGCCTTATTTATTTATTTATTTAAAGATTTTATTTATTCCTGGGGTGTCTAGGTGGCTGGCTCAGTCATTAAGCATCTGCCTTCAGCTCAGGTTATGATCCTGGGATCCAGCCCCGCATTGGCCTCCCCACTCAGCAGGAAGCCTGCTTCCCACACTCCCCCTGCTTGTGTTCTCTCTCTCACTCTGTCTCTCTCTAAATAAATAAATAAAATCTTAAATGAGATACCCACATATTTTTAAAAAAAGATTTTATTTATTCTTTAGACAAAGAGAGCAGGGAGTAGTGGCAGGCAGAGGGAGAGAGAGAAGCAGGCTCCCCGCTGAGCCAGGAGCCATATGCAGGATGCAGGGCTCATCCCATATTATGTTGAGATATGTTCCCTCTGTATCCACTTTATTGAGAATTTTATCGTGAATGGATGTTGAATTTTTGTCAGGTGTTTTTTTTTTGTATCTATTTAGATGGTCATGTGATTTGGGGCCTTCATTTTGTTGTGTCACCTTGATTGGCTTGCAGATTTTTGAATCATCCTTGTAGAACCTTTGAATAAATCCCACTTGATTGTGATGTATGGTATTTTTAATGGATTCTTTTTTTTTTTTTAAGATTTTATCTATGTATTTGACAGAGACATAGTGAGAGGGATCACAAGCAGGGGGAGTGGGAGAGGGAGAAGCAGGCTTCCCACGTGGCAGGGAGCCTGATGTGGGGCTCCATCCCAGGACCCAGGGATCATGATCTGAGCTGAAGGCAGACATTTAACGACTGAGCCACCCACGCACCCCTCAATGGATTCTTAAAAAATTTAATTCTAGTGTAGTTAACATAACAGTGTTATATTCATTTCAGGTGTACAATACAGTGATTCAGCAATTTCGTGTATTACTAACTGCTTGGAGAGATTAAGTGTACCCTTAATCCCCTTCACCTATTTCACCCATCCCTCCAGCCACCTCTCCTCTGTTGAGGAAAACCATCTGTTTTTTTGTTGTTGTTCATTTATGTTGTTTCTTAAATTCCACATATGAGTGAAATCATATGGTATGTGTTTCTTTGACTTATTTTGCTTTACCATTATACTCTCTAGATCCATTCATGTTGTTTTAAATTTCAAGACTTCAGTATTTTTTATGGCTAAATAATATTACATTGTGTCTATATACTGCATCTTTGTTATTTGTTCGTCTATGAATGGACTCTTGGGTTGCTTCCTTATTTTGGCTATTGTAAATAATGCTGCAGTAAACATACACGTGCATTTATTCTTTTGAATTAGTGTTTTC